CCGTGTTATTTGAGCTTCTAAGGCCAGCTCTATTTTCATCCATTTTTGTACTAATCATTAAAGATATTTTGGTGAGGACAGGGCGAAAACTCCATTCACATCTTTGGTATAGCTGGAGGGTGGGGTCACCTCAGCTATATTAATGAATGCATTGGGGTCAATTTTGAGTTGAGTTTGGAGAAGACGTTGCGTATTCGCGATGGCTAAACTTGCATTATTTAATTTGGAGAAGTTGTCTTCTAAACTGATTCTTAATAAGGGTTTTCTTCTTTAAGGTGGACGATTTCGACAGCTTGTTTTTTGACTATATTATCTTTGATGTTAAGGCTAACTACAAATTCATGTTCTTCTTCAGTTTCCATGCCATTTTCATTAAAGTGTTTATTAAGTATATCGGCCTGGGGGGGTAAAAGCGTATCAATATTAAGAATGGTTTCGACAGCTTTAACTCTTTCAATGGTGCAGTATATATCATGATCCATTTTGGCTAACTGGCTTGCAATAGTTTCAAGTTGGTTGGAAATTTTGGTTAGCATGTCAGGCTGTTCGTTTTGATCGTTGTTGTTATTAGGACGATGATAATTATAATTATGATCATAGTCATCTGCCTAAGAACTGTGAGCATGGATACTTGCATCCAAGGTTTCTTCACCCTTGTTGTTAAATGGTTGCTTGGGTTTGTTAGACTGAAAAGTAGAAGGGGATTTGGTTTGTTAATTGGCTGTTTAGGAGTAATATTTACAGGTTTAGGATTTATATATGGGTTCTTTGGGTCATTATTTTGTTTTAATGGAACTTTGTTAGTTTGATCCGTTGTGTTTGGTGTCAATTTATTAGGATAAAATGGTTTGGGTTTGTTAATAGGGGCCCGATAATTGCAGAATTGCGCCGGTTGGAATCTTTGGTAGAGCTGTTGTATTTGGCGGTCTCTGGGGATGATCTTTTTTTCTGACAATTTTGTGACTGGTGACCAGGAGTTTGGCAAATGAAACATAACTTTGAGTTCGGGTCTACCCAGATTAATCTTTTCTATCAAAATAGAAAGTCTCTCTGTTTTTGACGACATCCATCGTTTCTTTGTCTTTAAAGTAAAAGATAGCATACTGAAGGTTGCGATAGTTAGCACGTGATTTAAGGATGACTCAAGTGATAGCATCAATTGCATTGCCGATCGAGATAAGATGACGGCCGTTGATGTCAAGAGATAAGTTCGTGAGTTTAAGGGAAAATTGGAATTTTTTCCTAACATCTTCATTCGACATTGTGCAAGGATGAACTTGGACAAGGTCTTTTAGGATGAAGTAATTGTTAAGTTTATTCAGGGTGGTCATGTCTGTGTTTTCTTCAAAAGTAATTGTTGCTTGTTACCATAAATTTTTGGTAGACATAGTACATTTGGTGATCTTTCTGAAAAAGGAGAATGTAGATCTCAAGTTTGATTCTG